TAAAGATATATGAAAAAAGTAAGCAAGTAAACTATTCAGTATCTATACTGATATACCATCTTAACGTAGACACAAAACCTGTATAAAACTGATCAGAGCAAGAAAATCACATTGCAGCCACAAAGTTGAATGGGACACAATGGATGGGGAGCTGAAAAGGAGGAGTGTGAAGAGACTCAATAATAAGTTGGTGGGAAAACATTAATTTGCAAAGTAGTTTGGTGTATCAGAAGGTCTGGATACAACTCCAGTATTTCAACCTGTGTGGCCGCAAACCAAATACCTCCTCCAAGTTTGAATGCTGCAATGCTTCAGGATAGGTCAATTATGTGTTTCCTCCCTAATATCAGCCCATCAGATCACAAACCAGGCTGAGGCATTGATGCTTCCCCTCCTGATATTTTACAGGAATTCTTTTATTTTCTGGATTACCCAGTGAATTACATCAGTTTGTTTGAACCATGGACTTAAATCCAATGAGTAAGCTAAAAAGAGTATTACACTAAAGTGCAGGTCGTAACTTGCATTGATATATTGGTATAAAAACCAGGCAGAAAGATATTTTGATTAAACTCTATTAGATTGGAAAACAATAAAAACAAGGAGACTAGCATGTGAGTTAAAATATCTTGTGCACATTTGAATGCTCTTATCTTTGAGCAGTAAGTGTGCAAATTAAATCTGCAAATAAGGACACAGTATTTGCATGGAGATAAAAAAATAAAGTAAAACATAAAATCCTAACACATTATATCAGATGAGTTTAAATGAAAATTGTATTTAGATATACAGGAAAAGAAATGCTGATACCTCACATTACCTATACAAGAAGGTGATCCTAAAATACTAATAATCACTAAGAAGTTGCTGATGGATCAAATATGTGACAAAGTCTGACAAAATGTCACTTGTGTAAATCTCATAACTGCTCACTTACAGGAAACCTGAACAGGTAATAGATTCCCAACACATTGAACCAATCCATTCATATGGCTTTTCCAGTACTATCATTTTCTTTGACATGCAGGATTTTAAGGAGTTGTGGCTGAATTCTCAACATTACCAAGACACAGTAATTGGCACCAATTAAATTGCTACATTCATGTTTGAATTGCTTTTCCTGGCAAGTCTCATTGTCTTATTTATTCTGAAAGTATACTGAAAATATGTTTGCTTGTGGTTTACTCTGAATCAGGGCCAGCAGAAAACAAATCATCCCGAGTCTCCATTCTAAAGACGCCACCTCAGTTCTATGGCATTATTTATCTTTCTCTCTTGCCCTGGACAAGCTATAAAATAAATTTTCATTTTTTTTTTGAGGCTTGTGGATACATTAAAAAAAAAAAAATTCTACTTTCTAGAGAACTGCAGACTTGGGCATTTTCCAACACATAGTTGAAACTAGAAGAAAAATTCTTTCAAGCTAGAGAAGCCAGAACATTAACTGTTCAGTCTCCAAATATCAGAACTTGATATAAAAGCTCTGAACCCTATATACAGTAGATTACTGAAAATGAACATTGGCTGAAGTCATACAATGTCCAAGTTTCTCCCCTGCCTCTGAGGATTTATCATCAGATTAAAAATACAAACTGTATACAATTTGTCATAACAGGAGGAAAATCACAGCGATCCATATTGTGTATATACTAAGTCTGTAAGGAGAAAAATACTGAAAGATATTTAGACAAACTATCAACCTCCCTATTCTATATTAGATAATTGAATGACAAAAATCTCAATAAATATGGCCATGTACGTTCCCAGAATTTTTGGGGGGTCATTCGCTACTTCTGGCTTTTCTTAGCCATATACTCCCAGTTTAATTCTCTTGTATCATCTCCAAGTTTAAGTTCCCAAAGAGATATTTTCAGAATTGTATCTTTCTTCCAGTGCTGGGCAAAATATGTTTTTGCTTCTGTGAGCATATATTTTTCTGCAGGATTTTTTTTTTCCTGGGATTCTATATAATAAGAAAAAATGTGATTTCAGTTCAAATTTGATTTCCAATTTTTTATAGCGCCATGTTTGTCTTTTCAGTACTTTTTTTACTTGTCACTACATATAATAAAATGTTTCTTCAGTTTCATGACATTTCATGTTCCATGGCGTTTGTGACATTTATTACTGCATGATTTATGAACCTTAAGGATCGTAGATAGAGTTGGATAACTTCTGTATATATTTACCATTTTATTAATTATGGTACCATGAGATACTTTGTCACTGCTGTGATACAGAGCTATCACACAGGCTTTTAATGCATTCACACTAAAGGCAGTGTTCTGGGAATGAGTTGAAGCATTTCTTTGTTTAGTTATTGCAAAAGAACTACCCACTAAGACTTGCAGAAATCCTACTGCCTTAGCTTTTATTTTATTTCTGCAAGGTTTTTTTTAATTCTTTCATTCTTTCTAAAAACAAGCCAATCTCTGTAAAAGTCAAAAGACCTCAGTGAGAAAGGAAATTATTCTTACTGCTGGGAATATGAAAGAGTAAACCCTTGTGTTTTCTTTTTTTTCCTGATTTAACTTAATATGCTTCTTTTTCTTCCACTTCATCCAATGAATTTTTAAGGAACATTGGAGGCTGGCTGAATCTGTTCTTAGCTTAGTGCTTATAACAGGGACAAAAGAGATTGAAGAGATTGTATGTAATCAAGAATGAAAAAGAAGGGATTCCTCCTACACCTCAGTGACACGTTGGTCCCTTGGTTGTTGTTGTTTTTGAATGCCTTGCTTACAAAAACATTTCCTTTTAATAAAAGATGATGGATCACAGCTCTCATGCGGTTTTATCTGACAGCATGAAAACACTTTGTCCCTGTAAAGATAATTTCTTCTTATGAGCTGTTTTTAAAGTTCAATTACCTATGGTTTACATGTTGCTTCCCCCCCCCCCACCTATTTGAATTGGCTAGTCTAGACTTCCTGCTCCCTTACAATAAAAAAGATAACAAATATTTGTATAAACAACAAGTAGGAATCAAATATCTAAACAAAGCGACAAATATTTTTGTTGTGCACTTTAACTTTGGCAATTTCACATTCCAGTAGCAACTTGTGGGTAGAATACCAAGAGGATACTAATAAGCTTGTTGTACATGCTTGAAACAGAGGGTATACTCATGGTTTCTAAAGTATTATTAATATATTCAGAGGGTGTACAAGCAATAACTGACAATTATGCATAATTGAATAGAAAATTAATTATGCCCTATTACTCATCCATTTAGAAAGGACCCTATAGATTTATTTAAACAGGAATGCCAATAAACAACACATACATTCCTTTCATACATTTTAAAGGGATTTCCCCCTTTTTGTTTAAACGAACAAATGTAATTCCCAGTATCATTTGTTATGTCTTTTAGTTATCTGCCAGGATAAGCCAGGCCAGAACAATTTGAAAGTCAGATCAAACTTTAATTTTGTATACAAAATGAAAACACTGTCCTGAACTGTAGCAGAATTAAATGATTCAAGTCACAATTCTCAGGCCATAGACTCACACTAGCAATAAAGAGTATCTATTAATCTACAGTATGTGTTTTTTTAAACCAGAGTCAAGGAGTAATAAAATAAACTTATCTCACAGGGTTGTGGAGGGGAAAACAGGAGGCCGGAATACAAGTAGTCATCATTTAGCAAACATAATTGGACCTGGCAACTAGGTTGGTAAGCAAAGTGCTTGCTAAGTGAAAGCATGGCCATGTTAATGATCTTACTTCAGCTAATACTTTGTTTTATAGACTTGAAAAGGTCATAAATGCGAGCATTGGTTGCAAAGTTATTTTTCATCACTGTTGCAAGTGTGAATGGTAGCTAAATGGGGTAGTTACTAAACAAGACTACTTGTATTAGGTATATTTGCCACCCTGAATGATACATTTAAAAAGGTGGAATTATCCTGCGAGAATACTTCTAACACCATAAAACATCTTCCTATCCCAGGTCCTTGAGAAGGATTTGATGGGGGTTGGGAGATGGGGGTAAAAATGTCAAATCCAGTCTGAAAATTTGGCTAACTGTGTGACTAACCATAACTGCGGGAAAAACTCAGCATCTGTCAATTGCAAAAGGCAGCTTTGCATGAAGCCTCTTACATCCAGTACTTTTAACACCATCAAACAACACCATTTGCCTCTTCCAGGTCCTTGGGAAGGATTCGATCAATGGATAAAAATGCCAGCTCCAGCCTAAGCATTATGCTGACTGTGTGACTCCTCCTCCTCCTCATCATCATCAATCTGCCTACCCCAGGTCCTTGGGAAGGACTGGATAGGAAGGCTAAAATGCCAAATCCAGTCTAAACTTTTGGCTGGCTATGTGACCAACCATAAAATGGTGATGCTAGAGGTGGTTTCTTTAAACTTTAAACATTGTAGTCATAACCTAAGAATCTCCTGAAAGAACTGCACAATAGCACTTCGTGCTATACACGAAGATTATCCTTTTAAGTAGATGAGTTGTGCCATTTGCAACCAGAATCCTGAGATTAAGGGGAGGGGGCTAATGTACCAAGCCTTCTGTCTAGCTTAGTGATAGTAACTGCAAAGAGCTGACAGTTCTGATTGCCTGACACAGGATGCTTGCATATGTCCCACTGCACGTTAGCTTTAGTACTTTGTCATACTAAAGCTGGGAATAAGTTTAGGGATACAGAAAGAACAGAAGAGGTCAGTGGGGAATACCATAGAGGTCAGGCACTAGGTCAGGCATACCAATGAAAGGCTAGAGGTTAAAGCTGAGCCCAGGCAAAATTAATGTTGTGCTTTTAGTAGAACAGCAGTAGGAAAATGCAAGCAGGATCACACCAAATGAAAGAACAGCAAGGGGCTCTGACCACAGCTGTCCAAACTGTAACATTCCTCAATAAATGCAAGACTCAGGACTAGAGAAGTAAAATTGCCAGAAACTGTGAAGTCATTAAGAAAAACTCATTAAACTCAGTGTCTTGAGTTTCCTATCACTTAAGCCTAGATCCTCTGCTACCCTTACTTTCTATGACAGCATATTAGCACAAAAATTTCACTCTGAAAAAGGAAGCAACTTTTTATGTCCAAGAGAAAGATCTCTTGATTTTCTAACTCCAGAATTTTGAAATTTTCCTGCAGGAAGGAGAGAACATCAATCAAGTTACAAGCCAGAAGAAAGTTGAATATCCAAAGCCAGATACAGAATTACAGTTCAGTTACCACAATCCATGGCAACAGTTAAGAAAAGCAATGCAAAGGGGTTTTGTTTTTCTTCTACTCAATACAAGCTTTACTACATATATAATTTCATATGCCTCACAGTTGTTCTTACTCTCAGATCAATTAATGCTTCCTATGTCCCAACTAGTTTAAATATGTATCCAACTGTTAATAATCAAGGTGGGAAGGTTTTATTTTTCCAGGCAGGAAGTATTGCCTAGAAGACAATTTTCTTCAGATTCCAGCATGTTTGACAGTTGGGGATCCAGAAATTCATTTTCATAAATGATGGTTTACAGTTTTAAGTTTTCCGGCTGATGTTTCAATTCCCACATCTTTGATGACCCAGATCACCCAACCGACCAGAACAAAAGTAACCATATAAATCTTTAGTATCTGTCTCAAATACAAGGATTAATTTATTAATTATATGGTAGCACATCTCACAAAATTTAGAGCATCCTCCTCCAAACCCGGCTGGTAGACCTACTGTACTACTTTTACATTCAGATAATGTAGCCTTCATTTGTATTTCACCCATTGGGTTGAAGGGAGCCCTAAGCCCTGCACAAACTATTTTATTATTAATTAGCAAAAAATAAAAACAATTGTTTCAAAAAGCTTTTTAGACAGAATTATAGGAGACAAGGAAAAGGGAATAACACTGAATAGGTTCAGACCTTCAAAAATCTTGGACTTGTTGTCTACACCATTGGCTTGTGGAGGCCCCAAACTCAATCTCTATAACAGGTCAGAAGTATAGTTGCCATACTATGATTTTTTTTCTAAGATAGAAGGTAATTACATATCTAGTGGAATAAAAGTATTTGAGGCCAAAGTAATAGTGCGGCTGTCTTAAAACTTCCAAATATAGGTGTCTAAGAATTTAGGACCATTAGAGGTTGCCCCCTTGCCACAGTTATACAATCTGTTTTACACTGTGTGTGGAAACTACTTGGTGCCACCCTAAGGCACTGTAGAGTCTTCTCTGATACATTGATTTCAATGGGACTGATCAGGCCAAAGCATCTTTCAAGCAACATACCAGATATATGGTCTTGCAAAATGATCTATATTAATTAAGTGAACTCACAAAAATGGGCTCCTGCACATTACCTGTACCATACTATCCTTCAAACCACAAGAAGATATTTTACATTTGCCTGCTGCAATGCCCTCCCCTCTGACCTTTTGGAAGGTAGATTCCATAACTAATTCCATACCTAAATAGTTGCTCCTACCTCTGCTTCCTCTGTCTCTGCAGTGAAGGGGAAATTGAAAACATGGATCATGTGTTACTGCTGCCTTTTTAATAGAAATCTACAAGACATGTATAATGTATATTTCCCCATTTACCATATGATACCCAGACAGGCTGGAGTCTGATTACCTTTGTCTGCTGCTAACTGACCAAAAGGTAGAGATTTTAGATAATGAAGCCCAGTTTGGGGTCAGAGCTATGATCAAACATAAATAGCTCCTCCAAAGTGAAGTTATTCTGAACTTTGCCTAGGTTGCCATGATTCACTCTTATAATCCCATCTACCTTATACACATACCATTCCATGTCTTATCTTGTTATTTTCTTGCTGTAGTTGGTTGAATCATAACTGTCATAATCCCAATCAAATTCTAGTAGGTAGTGGTGTGATTCAAATTTTTTTACTACTGGTTCTATGGGTATGGCTTAGTGGGTTTGGCAGGAGTAGGATACTGTAAAATCTCCAGTCAGAGATGGGATTTGCTGGTTCTCAGAACTACTCAAAATTTCCACTACTGGTTCTCCAGAACTGGTCAGAACCTGCTAAATACCACCTCTGCTAGTAGAGCTTGAACAGGTAACTAGGCTCAATACAAGTTGAGATAACTTTACATTCTCCTAAGATCTTATAGATCCCACTACTTCTTCTTTATGTATAGTTATCTATCTTAATTAATTAAAACTTTTAGACACTAGATTATAATTTATAGATTTCTATCTGGTCTTAATCCATTTACTTTGCAATTCTATACCAATAATTCTTATTTTTTACTTTTGTATTATCGCAGTATGATCTTTTATTTCTATTTTAGAATGATTGTTATGGTGCTTTATGCAATATAAGCAATAACCACACAGACAAATGAACCAATTGGAAATAGTGACTACGATGTAATTCCTGTGAAACACATGAGTGCACCACCACCATCAACAACAAACTAGACAAGTATTAGTGCATTTGATTTAAAAAGAACAAATTTCTCTAAATAGTAAAGTTTTTTTTTAATTAATAAAAAATTAAAAGAGAAAATAGAGGTCCAAGTCTTCAAAATGCTTAGAGATCTCAGTATTTTTAAAATGTCATCATACAAGCTACTTAAAATACTGTATATTGAAGCTAAAACTAAGATTAGAGACTCTCTTGTGTCAAGTTTAGGTACTGGTGTTTACAGTATAGTTATCCATCCATGTAATTCTGGTAGAGCAATGTGGAAGTCATTTGCCATTGCCTTTTTCCAAAGTTTTTTTTTTCAATTTTCCATGTGTGTGCTCCTAATGGACTTAAGGTTTATCCAGATCCAACCAATACAGGCCAAGTTCTTTGCTCACATTCAGGCAATGTTAGTTAGAAGTTGCTACTTACAGTTAGAAGCTACTACTAACCAGAATGTTTTATAATACATTTGAAGTAAGACAAGTTGGGGGAGTTGGCAGTCTATCTGACAATAGATATTCTACAGAAAGGAATGGAATTGGAAGATATAAGATAGTACTGCAAACAGAGGTTAACAGATGAAATCATAGGCCTCCAGGACAAATCATGACTAAATAAATCACTAGGTCCAGACAATATCCACTCAAGGATATTGGGTGGATACTTAGATTTTAATGCAGTGAAAACAAATGTGAAGTTGCTGATCTTCTAACGCAAATATTCAACTTTTTCCTAGAAAATATCTTTGGACTCTGAGGACTGGGAAATAAATAACCTAACCCCTTTGCTTTTTCCATAATTCTAATGCATTCTCAAAAGCACACAGTGTCCTCCACTTCTTCAGTACTTGGCAGGTAGGAAATAACAAAAGCATATCATTTTCTATTCAACTTCATGGCTGCATTTGAGCAATTCACATGTGCCAGAGGCAGCAAAGATCGCTGAGCTAACAGACTAGCCAGGGAGTCTATCCACTGCTTAGAAGCAGAAAATAAGACCAGGCACTGAGCCTTGCAGTTCAGAAGTAGCTGCCACAGCAGCAATGGGAGAATGGAAATGGAGAGGGAACATATCCCCTGCTGCATTTGCTTCCTTGGCTGGCCAGTAGTCTAAATCTCTCCCGTGTTTCTTCAGAATGAAGCCTAGCTGGAAGAATAAAAAAGACCAAATTCAATCTAGGCAAGGAGTCCTGGGCTCAGGGCATATTCTCTGCAGGGTTCTGGCACTCAGGGTCTGTTTGTTGTTTTCCTGAAGGACCCAGAGTTGGGTATAGTTCAAAGAAAAACTGCAGAAAAGCAGAGGAGAGTCAAATTATCTAAAATGCATTATGAGAAGTTATCAAACCCTAATTGCAGTTGGGCTGCCAATAAATTTAAGATAATGATGATGATATTAATAATAATGTTAAAATATTGTAGGTTTTATGAATACAGACTGATAAAACTTTGGCTCATCACACACCAGATATAACTGTAGTTGAAACAAAGAAAGTGTGGATAATTGATGTGGCAATACTAGGGGACAGTAAAAAAAAGACAAAGAATTGGAAAAAATAAAAAAAGTATCAAGATCTGAAAACAGAAATGGAAAGATTATGACATAAACTGGCCATGGTAGTCACACTTGTTATTGGATGGCACATAAAAAATCTGCACATGGAGAAAAAAATATGTCAATTGCAAAAGGCCATATTGCTTGGATCTGCACATATACCATGCTGATACATTGCAGCATTCTAGATTCTTGGAAAGAACTCAAGGCATAATAAGGCCAACACCAGCTAAAAAAACTTTCAGTCACAAATTCATATTATTGGGAATAAATAATAGACCCTTTGAAACATTAATATTATAAAATTAACATATATGACATTGTTTAGTTCACACCTTCCGCCCCAAAAAGGAGCATTATAAAAGAGAGTGGCACTATAAGAATAAAATTGATTATAGTAGCAAGAAAGCAGGCCCATGTTACAATTGTGTTTCTTTCAAATAAACAGAGGGATGTTCAAATAAACAGCTATGGGATTTGTGTTCCTGCCTCATAGCTGTATTTTAGTTACCTATGAATTTTAATCTAGATGCCCAAATATTGAATATATTAGCAGTGTCGTCATGGCATTCTACAGACTAATTAATTTTGCTGTATCACCAGATGGATTTGAAATGAAGTTGTTTCTCAAAGACCACCCAGGAAGTTAATTTTTGAAATTGGAATCAGGATTTGTAGCTTGTGTTCTTTTACAACAGTGGTTAAGGAGATGCCCTACCAAACGCATATGCACTGAATGTACTACACACTGTGAGAAATACTGATGTGATGAAGTACCCACTCTGGTGAGTTCATGGGTCAAGTAATAGAAAAGTTCTAAATGAGCTCTTCTGAGCTCACAATACTTGTTTCAAATTCGAGACAGGTTGTTCCAGCATTACTGGAAGCATCCCAATACTGTTCCAGCCATTCCAGAAGTGTTTCATGCACAATTGTTCTAATTTGTGTTCAGAATGGCGGGGGGGGGGGGGGGATAGATTTTGAAATGGGGATGTTTCGAGTTTTAGATACTTGCAATTTGGTCAGAACAGCATGGGATATTACAGAAAAGACAAAAAAGTTATCACTAATCTGAACTGGGGTATTTTGAACTTGTACCCAGAGTATCCCCCCTCAAAAAGTTTTCA